ACCTATGAAGAGAAACCGGTGAAAATACTTGACCGTGAGGTTAAACGACTCAGAAATAAGAAGATAACGTTAGTAAAGGTTCTGTGGAGGAATCACAAAACTGAGGAGGCAACATGAGAACCCAAGGAAGCCATGAGGAAGCGCTACCCTGAGTTATTCTAAGTTTCGGGGACAAAACTTTTATAAGGTGGGAGGGATTGTAACGCCCGAACTTTTATTTACTTCTTACGTGCTAATCGCTTGTATTATGATCATGCTTTAACTTATGTTCGAGTGCTATATGTGAGAAGTGTAGGGATAGCATAATTATGAACTTTATGGAAATGATATTTGAACTCACATGCTTGTATTATGTTTGAACGTGACATGCGACGCTATCTGATGAGCAACAAAATAACACTGTAATAATCATTCGTATTTTTGAATGTAATGGTATATCAAGTTATTTGTCATGTTATATAGTATTTGGGTGTTTAAAATATATTTTAAAAGGTCATAGGGGGTCTAGGATGGGATCGGCAATAATCGGGGTCGGTTTAGGGCTAAAAGGGGCGTTTTCGGGACCCGGGGGTGCCGGACTGGCGCCGGTTGGGGCCAAACCGGCGCCGGTTCAAACAGAAACTTTGGCAGCTCGGTTGGCAGGGCAACCGGAACTGGTCAGGGGCAAACCGGCGCCGGTTCAGTCGGTTTTTGGCAGGCCAGTCAAAGTTCGTTTTTGAGCGAAGAAAACCCCTTTTAGCCCCAAATTCGATTCCTACTCACCCCTCTCTCTACAAATAAATCCCAGACCTTTTCAAAAGTGATTGAAGCTCAAATTTAACGTTATCCATCATCAAAGATCATTACTTGGTAAGTTTTTACACTATACATGAAATATTTCTTCCATGATTTGAGTTGTGGTTCTTCTTTTTTGTTTAAGCTAGGGTTGATTGATTTTAGGTTGATTCTTAGAAAATTAATGGATTTTCTTGATAATAAGGTTGTTATGGAGTGGTTGTTTATCCTTGGTTTAATGAGTTTTTTAAATCTATTCTTGAATAACTAGCTATATCAAAACTAAGTCAAATTGATGAAAGAACTTGAGGAATCTTCTTAATATGTATAGGCTAATTTTAAATAGACGTGTAGAACTCTTGATAGTATTGTTATTGGTTAGTTGTTGTTGACTCTTGAGTATGAAGTTCAATCGGGTGTTGGTTGTCTAATTACTCGAGAATTTGACCGGTTGAGATATAGGAGTCTTAGAAGTCTATCATATTCGGGGACTTGTTTTGTTGAGTTCCTCTTATGCTAAGTCTTAGGGTTTTTGGTAAAATCATGAAATTGTGTTGATGAAGTGTAAATCACATATATATACGTATATACACACACACACACACATACAGGGTGCGGTTCCGATGAGAACACTCCTTAACGTGAGAAATGAGAACGCTCCAAATCGATGCACTTTATCCTTCACAAAACTGCACATTTATAGTTAAAGTAATGCAAAATTCTAATTTACATTTAAAATTTCGCACATACGAAATGCACATTTTCCAATTTCCTATATGCACGTTTCTGTTTTACATGATCCACAATGCTCAAATCCAACGCTCCAGAATCATTCTCATTTCTCTCCTAAGATGATATTCTCATTTGATCCTTACCCTACATATATATATATGTATATGTATATATATATATATATATATATGTATATATATATATATATATATATATATATATATATATATATATATATATGCACACACACACACACACACATATATATATATATATATATATATATATATGTGTGTGTGTGTGTGTGTGTGTGTGTATAACTTCTCATCGAAGAACTGTTGCCCGTTGACGCCTTATACACACAATTGAGGGTAAAAACTCCACGTGAATCAAGTAAGTCATCGTCACCTATACATGATAGTTTGAAATGAAATATGGAAGTCTAGCTACCTATGAATTGGACAGGTTTGCTTGAATGTTTGAATTTGTATGGTATGAGATTATGTGAATGCCCTGTTATGTGTATATATTTATAGGTGATGTTGATTGAGAACTTGTTGAGTTATCAATGTAAGGTATCCAAGTGCTATGGTTAATGTTAGGTTGGATTTATATGGACTCCAACAATGAATGAAAGTTGTGATGGTAATGATATCAAATGAATGATAAGAAATGTTCTAAGGTAGCCGTTCCCCCAAGTAATCACATGAACTGAACGGAGCGGGATCTCCTTCCGTGGAGAGTCTCGGGATTACTTCTGATGGCTGCGGGCTAGCTACCCAAAATCATTAGCGAGGGGCCAGGACACGAGCTACGGGCCCATCAAGTCAAGTAATAAGATAAGAAGAAAGAATGATGAATGAAGAAAACGTTTTGATTTTGTTACATGATGTTGTGTTTTACATGATATGAATATGTGTGTGAATATGCTAGGTGTATGGAGTATTCTAGCTTATTATGGCTAGCTAAGACTCCGTTATTTTAGTGGATGTAATGGTGACTTACTAAGCAAATTTTGCTTATGAGACTTCTGTTCTCTCGTGTTCTCATGTATAGGTAATGAATAAAGATTGGAAGCCTGAGAGAATGTTCGGGTCGGGTGGCGAGGTTGTGGATGGGTTAACGGAAACGACCTGGCTGTGTCTCATGTTTTGTTGTTGTACTATGATAGTTTTATGAGTCGTTTTATATTTTGTTTTAAAAATCCTGATCAGGTGTGATGACTTTGTTTTAAGCATGATTGTTGTTGGTCTTTTGACATTTTAGTTATGAAGTTTTCTTATGTATATAAGAAATAAAGTTTCATGACAAGACTTTGTATCTTTAATATTCCGCTTTGTATATTGAGTCTTGTTTATGTTGAGTATGGTAATGGTCGTTTGGGGACGGTCGTTACGGATAGATGGATTAGGAAATGTGTATGGAAATATGGAGATGGGAGAAGAAGATGAGTTTCTACTCGTGGAGGCTAAGACTCCAGGGATCTACTCGATAGTCTTGATTTCCCCCAGTTTCTTGAGTAGTGAGCATGTGAATCTACTCGAGAAAGTATACTCTTGCTCACGTCTTTCCATGCCTTCCCTGAACCAATGTCTTTGAATAGTCTTGGATGCAAGGCATTCATAAGTGATAGATGAGTTGCAGTCCCCACGCTAGGCACGACGGCACTGAAGAGCTAGCCCTTCGTGCTGCATAAAGTGGCGGTCGGCATCCTAGATTAAGGATCGACGAGCCCGATAAAAAAGAAGGCACGACGGTGCTGAAGAGCCAGCCGTTCGTGCTGCATAAAGCGGCGGTCACCATCCTAGATCAAGGATGGACAAGCCCGACCGAGATCCAGGCATGACGGTGCTGTGGAGCCCGTTCGTGCTGCATAAAAGCGGCGGTCGCCATCCCAGACAAGGGATGGACGGGCCCGACCGAGAGCCAGGCACGATGGTGCTGTGGAGCCCGTTCGTGTTGCATAAAAGCGGCGGTCACCATCTTAGATCAAGAATGGACGAGCCGACCGAGAGCCATGCATAATGGTGTTGTGGAGCCCGTTCGTGCTGCATCAAAGCGGCGGTCGCCATCCCAGATCAAGGATGGACGAGCTCGATCAAGAGCCAGGCACGTCGGTGCCGTGGAGCCCGTTCGCGCTGCATAAGATGATCAAGAGGAGAAAGTTAGCTTTTATTCCCTAGCTCAAACCGAACCAGCCGAGATCACCCGTTCGATCTAATTTGGACAGATCACTCTAACTAATTGGTTGGGGATGGGTACCACACTCAACAAGCCGTCGCGACATTTGAGTAGGCCCAAACATGTATGCCACGCACTTGTGAACGTGGTCGTAGAACCCCTTTTCCTTTGGTCGGGTAGTTCCACGGACTCGACTCTAACAGACGTGGACCCGTCGGCCCAGGACCACTACGGGCCTCCCTTTGCTTCGCATCATCTCCAAACCAGTTAGTATACCCCACTCAATATTCTTATCGAACGGATCGTTCTCGGCTAGCTGAAATGACGACTCACCCCTAACTCACAGTTCCATTCTCCCGTTCTTCCCACTAGAAGGGTACGATGTACCACTGACTGGGGTGAGAATTTTAACCATAGTTTCGATCCCCCGTTCGATTCACCTCAGTTTGACCGGATGCCCGAACGGATCATCCATACTCCTGGCCTCTCGCCTCCAAACCTAAGTTTCAATGCCCCGTTCGAGTGTTTTGATACGATTCATCCATACTTGTAGTTGAGGTGACATTTTTAGGAGCCCTGATATCCTTTTCTCTCATTTTCTCTCTGGGGTTTCCAGACGGAATCTTGCATCCACCTTTTACACGTATATATATATATATATATATATATATATATATATATATATATATAATATATATATATTATATATATATTATACACATATATAAATATATATATACAGGGACTCACAATGACGATCACTTTGTGCCAGGGTGGCTGGTCGTGGTAGCAGATGGAGCTATAAAAACAGTCAGATCATCCGAAAAAATAGGTCTTCCTCCGTGCAGTGTGAAGATGCCTTCAAGGTGATAAACTGCATAAGACGGTGATCCTCCCTCTGTAAAGGCATGGGCGGACCCGACCGTGAACTGATACGATGGCGCTGAGAGGTCGATCATACTGCAAAAGACGGTGATCCTCCCCCTGTACAGGCATGGGCGGACCCGAGCGTGAACTGGATACGATGGCGCTGAAGGGCCGATCGTACTGCTAAAGACGATGATCCTCCCCTATAAAGGCATGGGTGGACCCGACCGTGAACTGCATACGATGGCGCTGAGGGGCCGATCGTACTGCATAAGACGGTGATCCTCCCCTGTAAAGGCATGGGCGGACCCCACCGTGCTCAAGAGGGCTTTCAGGGGCCTCAACCCATGATACGATGGCGCTGATGTGACGCCGCGGACCAATCCGGACACGTCAACAACCCGCCGTATAATACGAATAGTCAACCACAGTCTAACACATCCATATTACACAAGGCATCTCGAATATCATTCACACATAAGTCATACATAAACATACATAATAAGCAATTCAATACGCAGCAGAAAACATAGTTTGAAAACAAATGCCACACGGGGCAAACATGAGCACACTGGCTCTATAGTGAAAAAATATTCATGAGCATGTTTATAAATGTTCAAAAACAGAATGGAGGAAGCACGAACCAAGTCTTCTCTCCAAGATGATCATCCGAGCAACGAGCACAGGTAGCAAGCTCTAGCCTCAACCTGAAATGGAGGTGGGAAGCCCCCCGAAAGGGGGTCAGTACTCTATACGGCTATAAAGTACTGGTGTGGATGGCATCTAATAGATATACAACAAGTATTTCAAACACAAGACCCTCAAATAGGGTGATAATATAATCTAGGCCGTAACCCCAAGTTACCCATTTTCAAAATATACTTACTTTATGTATAAAGTCAAGTAGTCGACCCGTAGGCCCAAAGTTTGTTTACAAAACATCAACCCAGTACCCCGTGACTACCAGTCACGACAATTCATAGGGTCCAACCCTAACACATATGTTTGCATTTCTAGAGTCCAACTCAAGTACATCACCATGCAAATCATATGACACAAGTTAATTACTCCACCGTGCATTTCTAGAGTCCAACTTAAGTACATCACCATGCACACCATAGGCTGCAACTTAAAATATCTCATGCATTTCTAGAGTCCAACTCAAGTACATCACCATGCATGTCATCAATCACAACCCCTTGTCTACCCATGCACTTCTAGAGTCCAACTCAAGTACATCACTGTGCCATGGCATAGACTCAATTCCTAAGCAAACCTATTCCTAGAATTGAGATATCAATAATCTATTTTGGGACATCCTTACGGACTTCCCATAACATGATCTTAGCTTCATACTAAATCAATTAAGTCACTTGAATCACATTCAAGCACATCACTTACAATCAAATTCTTAGATTCAATTCCTTGACAATTACAAACAATCATTAACTAGTAATTCAATACTATTAAGATTATTCTTATACATAAAATATTCTAATTGTAAGTCCCTACATATCTAGAGATATGTAACAACAACTTAAGCATCCAATGTAATACATAAATATTCATTTATGTATCTACACAATTCACACATGAGTAAAAATGCCTATTTTACATAATAGTTCATTTAACTCCATTTTTCCAAATCATTTCCAATTCCATTCCTTATCAAATATATCCATATTTCATCAATAATAAATCTTCATAATCCATGAAAAACTTGATTATGCATTTAGGTAATCTCATGCTTAACCTACAAGTTGTAAGCAACTAGATGTCGATCCTCACCTCAAATGAGCTTTAAATTGTTCCTTCTCAATCCAATGCTCAAGATTCGGCCAAGGGAGTTTGAGAATTGATTCCTTGTTTATAAATTAGTTTTAAATAGCCTCCTCAAGGTGCTAGCTCAACTCCTAACCAAAGACACGAAAACAGTCCCTAGAACATGTGTTTTCAGACGAGTTCGGTTCCTAACCTTTCAAGGTTTGTTCTAGGTTAGTATCTAACCTTTACAACAAATAAAGTAACCTTATAATAAAATTTTATACACTTGAAATAGTGTATAATAGTTCTTCAATCATTTATATGATTTAGACAATAGAAAGGAAAGTTTTGGATTCAAACTTACTTTGAATACAAAAATGTATTCAGCGAGGTATCATTTTCTTTCGATGATTTGGAGACCTTACACTGCTCCGTTTGATGCAAACCGCACCTCTATGGATTCCTTATCTTGAGAGATTTCTTTGTACACCTCACATGCCTTATTTGGACGAGTGTGGCTTGATATATGTATCAAATAGTGTTGGGAATATTTTATGGTGTCCAATCTAATTAAATATCTTTCTATGTGTGTAGTTATTAGTTAAATGTGTAATATGGGCCACAAATGTATTTCAGCCCATTAACTCACTTGTTTAGGTGTGGTTCATATTTATAGGCTCAGAAGTTCCCAAGGAGTTTAGGTGTGAGATTGCTTAAAAGATTCCTTTTCTCCCCACACTTGGATAAGTAAATTTTTTATAAAACTCCCACTTGAAGAGCTAATTTTGAGCCCATTTCAATTTTTGAGATCTAATCTTCAACACCAAAGGTCAACCTTACAATCAAATCTTCAAAGAGTCAACCTTGAGATTAAAAAAAAATTAATTAATTAATTAATTAATTAGTTAATTAAAAAAAATCTCAAGGTTAAGACTATTTTTTCTCAAGGTCCAAACCACATTTCAAGGTCCAGAAAATTGCATAAACTTCAATCAACCTCACGTCTACGGTCAACATTCAACAATCAACAACAATGGACGCTATATCTCCTTGTTCATGTATTTGTCAAACTCATTCTTCAAAAGATAAGGACAAAATTATCAAGGAATTGGAAGAGAGATTAGCAAATAATCACAAAGTCCTACTGAAGCAGCTGGATAAGTCCACCTCATTGAGTATACAATTGGACAATTCCAAAGAAAAGGTTAATAAAATAACTTTGGAAAAAGAGAAGCTGACTCTGAAAATAGTTGATCTAACAAAGGAGTTGAATCAGACCCAGATAGAGCTAAGCACATCAAAAGCTGATAACGATTTTCTTCAAAATAAAAGAAGTACCCTTTACCGCAAGATCAAAGATCTTGAAGACTTACTTGCTATAAAGGGGAAGACTGAACAAACAATCTTCTTGAACCAACCCAAAGACACCCGTTTCTATAATTCTAAAGAAGGACTCGGTTTATCTAACCCATGTAATTTGAAGAAGGTGAATTGTGCTCAACTGTATGACATCAATTATATGGGTCTTGGACTGACTAAGTTGATGTCTTTCCTCAGTGTTAAAGAAACAAATGATGAAGAAGATGCCAAGAGAGCTAATCTCGGAACAGAAATTCCTTTTGATTATGCTGCCTTGAACGAGAGCTATGAAAGAAAAGAGCCCCCGTTGACTCCTCCTGAAGAGATTCCAACCTTTTACCCTGCAAAAGAGACTGTGCAAGATCAATAGGAACCTTCAACTTCAGAGCTTGTAGCCAAACCAGCATACATTCCACCCCTTGTGAGAAAGTTTGCTGAATTGAAAGAAGCTTTTGATAAAGAAAAACAAGCTTTTGAACTAGAAAGAGAACAACTCTTGAATGAAATATCTTTGCTCCAAACATCCTCTCAATCAAGCACAGGCGCACAATCTCTTTCTCCTCCATCATCTGAAAACTGTGCTTCTCCTTCTCCTCCGTCTTCTGAGAACTCTTCTGAAAAATCTACAAATGATCCTGAAACTTCCACTTCTCACTCTGAGTCACCTTCACCGACAAGGGCCCCTGTGAAGAGGAGAGTGGAAAGGAGAGGAGAATGGATAGAGGACAAGTTAAGAAGAAGAAAGAAGGAAGAAGAATCTCGTCTGAGGGATAGGAACTGGGGTTCAAGTGCTCTCTTCTATGCCAAAAGGAAGACATCTCCTAAGAATCACTGCTCAAGCTCTTCTACTCAAAACTGTATCAAGTCTTTCATGCAATGCTGCTCTGAGTCTGATGCCTCCTTCACTCAAGATCAGAAAGTGAATGATCAGAGAGTCCAAAAGAAATCCGCTTCTACAAAGGTGAACGTTGAGGGAGAGTATACACTACCATGTTTGAAATATCCCCTCAAGGTTCACTCATTCAAACATTTGAGAAGACTCTCTAAAGAACCAATTCTCAAAGACTACTTGTCTGATCATTCACTCAGTGATAATGAAACCTCTCCTGCTCAAAAGCTCAAACAAAAATGGATTCCTAAGACTGAAGCTGAAAAATTAAGAATGTCAAACTCCTCTCAGTCAACTAGCTTAGGATCCTAGATTAAACAGAAAGTGAAAGAGTTGTTCGCTGTTGCCAAGGAAGGACCTATCTGGAAATGGGCACCGAAACATACTTAATATGTGTTGAAGGTCCGTCATGTGTGGTAACTGACCCGATTGCTCCACACACATGGCGGGTATGAAGACGAACCGCGAGCAATCAATCGATGCACATTATCAAGGAGAGTATTGACATGTATACTCTCCAACGAGCTGAAAATCATCAAATGCACACCTCAACACCAACACGTTCCAAGAACAAACAACGAGTGCATATTCTGAGCGGGGGTGTTTCTTTTTCTATCCTCCTGGTGCTAAACAACAAAGAAAGCACATTCCAAGGGGGAATTTTCTACTTTATTCCCCAGGTAACAAACAACACAACTTGCAACTTTTGAGGGGGAGTTTCATTTTTCTCCTCCAGGTGCTAGACAATGTAAAGTGCAAGGATTCTCTCAAGGATGCAGATTTTAAGGGGGAGTTTTCAAAATTCTCCTCCAAAGTGCCAATCATCATAAAAGGCATCCTACTGAATGCTCCAGTTGAGGGGGAGCACGGAGAGAAAAGATCAAAGAAAATTGAGAGATAAGTCCTAATGGCTTAGTAAACCCAACTAAGCCTACCCAAGGGACAAAGCCGAGAGTGAGTGAGTAGCTGAGTGAACACTATGAGAGTGAGGAAGCAGAAAGCTCAAGTGAGCAAGAGAAAAATAATCACTGTCAAATCAGCTACCTCTATTGTGCTATCAATTGAGAAAATTACTCCCAGTCACTCAAATACTTTGGACAATTCCCATAGGTTCAGGACTGAATTTATTCAGATCCCGGGTAGAAGTCGCTACATTTTGTCCAAACAACGCATGCACAACCTTACCTTAAACCACTCACGTGTCTCCCAACAGACATGTGTTTAATCATATTTCACGGGGAACCTCATCTCTTATCACCGCCTCCTTCTGAGGTGACTGATACTGATTACAGTGGCCCACAGCCCCACGCCACTGAACATTCGATGATCACGTCGTGTCTAGTAATCTCACTCCCAAATGTTTTGAATTTTCTAGGACACACACTTTTTAGAGTCAATTGCAGGTCTTCATGACCCGCGAGAACTTCCATAGGGCTCATCTACTAGATGAAGACTAATGATTGGAAGGAAGTCCTGCTATTGCAACACAGAAATCACCAACATGTTCAGGCCATCGCTTCTGAGTTTATCTCTATAGTGATGATAACGGGCGTCTACACGACCCCGGGGGCTACGTTATCTTTGCTGATCTTTATGATCATGCCATAACAACCAGAGTGACATCTACTTTAGATGCTTCACAATGACTGGTTGAAAGTCCTGTTAGAGCTTTAATGCTTCTATCATTTTTACAGGCCACACATCAGTGTTTACATTGATGTTGTGATAATGGAACACCTCAGTGTATCCGGTTTTTATCATTTAACCTTTTTTTTGTTTTTTTTGTTGCCCAGAATAAAAGAATAAAGACAAGACGCCCCCGATTCATCAGATCGTCATGAGGGGGAAAGTTGTCCGCATGCTGATAACACTCAACAAAAATCATTCTCGGATACTTTTCCTCCAACACAAAAAACGACGACTCTCTACTTTTTTAAATCATCAAGACTACCAAGTCAGCTTCACTTCAAATGGACAGTTACTTTTCCGCTGTGCCACTGACGAGGTCTCCTCAAAAACATTCACCTCAAATAGTCAAAAAGACTACATTGTGGAGGAGACGGAGGTCAGATACTCGTGTACTGAAGATGAATCCCGTGCGCGCCTGAAAATTATCAGAACATTCATTCTAAAGGCGCCTTTGAACTTCATTCAAGCTGATCAAGAGCTGCTTCTGCAAGGCAAGGATTACAAGCAAAAGATTCCTCAACTCCCGGCATCAAAGATCAAATTGAAAAGAAGACATCAAAGGGGAGATTGCAAGGATTTCTTCATAAAACCTTCTCAAGAAGTCAAGTTCAAAGACAAAGGAAGCTGAATAACAACAAAGACAAATATATCCGCGCTGGAATGCTGATTGAACATGATTGAACACCAAGGGGAAGATTTTTGGGAATATTTTATGGTGTCCAATCTAATTAAATATCTTTCTATTTGTGTAGTTATTAGTTAAATGTGTAATATGGGCCACAAATGTATTTCATCCCATTAGCCCACTTGTAAGCCTTAAGTTAGACATCCTTATGTATAAAGGATGCTAACTTAAGCAAACCCTAACTCTCACACAACTCTCACATAAGCCTCAATGCACATATCATTTTTAGTGAGAAGGGAGAAAAACGCCGTTTATACCCTATTCTGTATTTCGACATCTTTATTGGTATTGAATCGGATCATCGTTTCTTCTGTACTCTTTATATTGTTTGTATGATTGTTGATTGATATTGGGACTAACAAATAGTGAACTCCACGAACTGGAAAATATCCCTGCGGCCAGCTCCCTTTTCTCTTTTTTTCTTGAGTTGTGTGGCTCCTCTTCCCTCCCTTATCTTTTGTAGTTCAAATGGTAGGTGGTAGGAAGCTCTCAAGGCTCTCAAATAATGTTATCTTCTTAAAATGGTTGGAAGAGAACAAGGGTAAGAGAGGGTATGGTCTCCATGAGATGTATTTGACATGTGTGGGTCTTCCTCCTTGATTTCTTTTGTCAAGTTCAACCCCAAGTCAAATATGGCCGCCCCTACCCCCATATAACATGATCTTTCCTTGTCTTGCAGGTTCTAGGAAGGTGTGGGACGCACCCTTATGTCCCATAATTATTTTGGGAGCAAAATATCTACCAATACATCCAAAAAAAGGAAAGATGAGTCCTATTGTTTGTATCTTTTGTCATAAGATGTCTTTTTGTACTCATTCTAATTTATTTAGAACAAGTCAACTATTAACATCATATTATTGGTCTCTAATATGTGTAGGAAAATCCCAATAATTTATATGATGTATAATTATATAAGAAAACCTTATTCCCACTACTTAGTTCAATAATGCTTAAGGTGGGACCATAGAGGTTTGTATTCTTCTCTAACCAACGCATTCACTTATTTGTGACCATTGACTTTATATTCCTGGGCTACAAGCCGTGTGGATCATCCTCGAGTGGGTCTAGGGTGCCATTCTTGAACACTTGCTATTTTTAGCAGATTAGGTCCAAAATAACATTTGGGCTGCCCGACCGTTCTTATTTTGCATCGAAGGGTTACGTATCCTTATTTACATGGTGTTGGGCTCTTATATCTAATTAGATTGCCCAATTAAGTATTTGTAAGCCTATTACTATTATATGAGCCCAAACTGTAATATAATTAATCATGCATCACGTAAAACATTAATCGTTTTACAATTGTTCAATAATAGGGAAATTCAATACATAAGCTTTGAATTTTAAATTTGAATTTCAAGGACGCTCGGGTGCGATGTCACAGCTGAGAGGCTGATTGTAATGCATAAGACGGTGATCCTCCCTCTGTAAAGGCATGGGCGGACCCGACCGTGAACTGGATATGATGGTGCTGAGAGGCTGATCATACTGCAAAAGATGGTGATCCTCCCCTGTAAAGGCGTGGGTGGACCTGACCGTGAACTGGATACGATGGCGTTGAGGGGCCGATTGTACTGCAAAAGATGGTGATCCTCTCCATGTAAAGGCATGGGCAGACCCGACCGTGATCAAGAATGTGTGAGGGTCTTACAGGCGCCCTTTGCCTCCTGGTGGGTGATGCTTTTCTCACGGCCCTCGGCCATGATGGTCTCCTTGAGGCCCTCGGCCTCCTGGTAGAAGATGCTCGTCTCACGGCCCTCGGCCATGACGGTCTCCTCTAGCGGCCATGAACGCCCCAACCATGAACGTCTCTGCGCCTCATGCTGAACGTCGTTGACCTCCCCGCTCAAATTTATCGAATGGCTTTGAATGATTCTCTTTACGTTGCAAGTCATGAATGTTTCTGCGCTTCATGCCGAACGTCATTGATCTCCCCGCTCGAGTCTATCGAACGACTTTGAATGATTCTCTTTACGTTGCCAGTCATGAACGTCTCTGCGCTTCATGCCGAACGTCATTGATCTCCCCGCTCGAGTCTATCGAACAGCTTTCACTACACAATAAGTATGGTAATACGGTCGTACGACCGAACAACATATACAAGCATATACATAAACACATGCGCAATACTCATGACTACCGATCAAAGTGGTATAATAACTCTTGGCCTAGATTCATTTTTTGCACTGCCCAGACACTAGAACCACCTAGTGGTTTGTCGGGCGCTCTCAAAAAAGCTCTAGCTAATTAAAGTACGTACTTGGCCCATACTGGGTATAGTTGCCCTTCAGACACTCTATATCGAGCGGGACCATGAATGGTCTCAAAATTAAAATGTGTCACCAGAGTAACGCCTGCGGATAAGCTCCGGTTTCTAATTAAAGCCGATCGGGATGGGCCGATAGGCCCTACTAAAACCAATCATTTAACTAATCGATGGTGAAGTCTCGTCCGACATTATTTTATTCGGGGTTTTATAATCCCTACGAATGATGGTGATGTGTAATTCATAGTAGAATACTACATCAAGTTGTTAATATTTCCATGAGTGACCCGCCCTAGCCGAGTGGGTCCATAGATGTAACACCGTCCCCAAATTATATTTACTTTTTAGTAAATAATGTATTAAACACTATGGAATGATCAATGAATTTATGAAGTGTTAAATTTTTATTAATTCTTTCGCGTGAATAGTAAATTGTACGTGGGACCCACATCGGGGGCGGGGACCACCCAACATCCCTGAGATCACATATTTTATTCATCTTAGTAAAGATAATATTTGTATGGTGGTGGATATTTTATTTGGGTCGTGGAAAGGCCCAGAGTTGACCGATTGGACAAAAGAGGCCCAAATACCGGTACCGACAATTTAACAGATAACAGTCCGGAAATGGATTTCGGAGACTTCTTAATTAAAGTTTTGGAATATATATTATTTCAAAAAGGCCTTACGATGGATAACACTTAACATATTTTATTTTACCCGATAAAATAAAATATAATTAAAACAGTCCGAAAAATACAACTTTCGGGACCGATTGTACCCACCGGGACACAAAGGGATGACCTCCCACATGAGTGGGAGCCACCCCACGTTTTTTATGCTCAAATGGACCAAGTGAAGGCCAATAGTACACATGATGGGAGGGGAGACATTTGGAGACATTAAAAGGGCCCCTCTCTCACTTATTAGCTAAATGAGACAAAAGAAACCCATCCCCCTCCTTCCTCATCATTGTGCTCGACCAAGGAATCAAAGAGGAGCAAGAGAGAGCTCTCAAACCAGCCTCCATTGTTGCAGCATGAGCTCAAGAAGAAAGTGGTCCAAAAGAGAGGATTTAAGAAGGAAAAAGTGAGGAAAAGCTTGGATAATTAAGGAAATGACCTTATAATAACTTTTCCCTCTATTCCTTAGCTATCATATGGTTTATATAGCATATGAGGAACCCTTTTTGTAGTTCTATATATTTACATATGTAGAAAGATGGATTGAAAGGTGATTCAAAGTCCAAGAACGGACTTATAACCAAAATGACCGGTTTGCCGGAAAATAACCTTTTAAAGGTTATTTGTATTGATATGGGTTGTATGATGATAAAACCTTGTTAGGAACTTGACTAAAGGGTTTCTAGAGTTCGCTGGAGTTTCGCCGGAGTTTCGTCGGAGTCCAACTAAGAAGAGTAGAACTTCTTAAAGCCCATTTGAGGTGAGTGGACGGCTTAATATCTTATAACTTTTGGGTTAATTATGAGATTACCTAAATAAATGTTATATGTGTTCATAATTATGTTTAAAGGATATTTAAACATGTGATTAGTCAACATGGTTAAGTTTGTATGAAAGGAATGAATTGTTTATGCATGAAATATGACATGAGGAATTATATAAAATGCATATTTGCTTGAAGTGTAAGAGAAGCACAAACGAATATTATTAACTTAATTATATGACGATTAAGTTGATACGTACAAGGCTTGAAATGGCGGTCAACGAAAACGTTGACCGATGGATAATGGATTAATTAATACCGATTGGTATTAGTTAATTATAAATTTATATAAATGCATGGTTTTGCATGGATTGTGATCCATAAGCTTTATGTATTGATTTAGCTATGAATGAATAAATATGATATAGACCCCATCTAGGTTGATAGGAGGTTGATCATAGGATTATATTTTGATGGAGGACCCTAGGACTTAAAATCCTTAACACTCATATTTTGGTGGAGGACCCTAGGACTTAAAGTCCTTAACACTCATATTTTGGTGGAGGACCCTAGGACTTAAAGTCCTTAACACTCATATTTCGGTGGAGGACCCTAGGACTTAAAGTCCTTAACACTCATATTTTGGTGGAGGACCATAAAACTTAAAGTTCTTAACACTCGGATTATACATTGGTGGAGGACCCTAGGACTTAAAGTCCTTAACACTCAAATTATATATTGGTGGAGGACCCTAGAACTTAACGTTCTTAACACTCGGATTATATATTGGTGGAGGACCCTAGGACGAAAAGTCCTTAACACTCGGATTATAAATTGGTGGAGTACCCAAGGATTATGATCCTAAAAACTCATAGGTTATGGTATATAAGTATGGACAAGGAGGAGTCCTATACACTCATAGGCATATGGGTGGGTTGGGTTTTTTAGTCAAGAATATCGACTATTAATATTTTCCCAAATAAAACGGTGATCTACGGATCGGGTATTTTCCAAGTGTATATGTACTATTAAGTATTTCTTAACTTGGGGGAAAAGACTATTTATATAAGTATCACCCTATGTTTGGGTCTTATACTTGAAACGCTAGTTATTCTATATTTAGCCTGCTACTCACTCGGTACTTGTACTGACCCTTTCGAGGGGCCCACCGTTTTCAGGTTGAAGCTAGGGCTTACTACCTGCACCTTTCTACGGGTGACATCAAATCAAGGAAGACGTGGTTCATGTTTCCTCGTTTCCTTTCAAATTACCAAACATTGCTCATGGATACTTTTATTTATTATAGACTACTTTTGGGCTTGCGTGCCCATGTTATTGGCCGAATGTGGCCTATGATTTACTGCTGAATATTTCCGCTATTCAATGGTTTAATTGTGATGTTTGTTATGTATGTTTACTACTGAGTATGGATGGATTGTTTTCTCGAACGCCTTGTATGATTATACGGCGATTGTACACGCGCTTAGATTGCGGTCTGAGGTGTGACAATAGATGCTCCGACCACCAATTAAGGTCGATCGGGGTGGCCAACGGCCTCACTAAAAACAATCATTTATCTAAATGACGGTGAAGTCATCACCAGAGCTTCTCGCGGTCCCTATTTAGTTTGGGAAAATTTAATCCCTAATAGATAATGGTGATACATAAACATAATAGCAATACTATCGAGCAACAGTTCAAGTAGGCGAGAAAATGGTGGTACTTAGCTCTTGGTGGTGTGCTGAAACACTCTTATCGTCTTATCGCTGGAGATAAATCCAGAAGAGTATGCCTTAACAATTCATAGTGGTGGGCCATGTCTCTCTTCCGTATCCACTTAATTGGAGAGAGGGTTCCAGATTGCAAATCCAGCAAATCTCCCAAGCGTGTAGCTGCATGATCGATTGTCAAAAATAGCAAAACAGACCCGGCGCTGAAACTAGGATGAGCCGGACTGTGAGGGTGCCGGACGGGAAGATGCCGGACGGGAAGTCTCCCGACGGGAAGCTCCGAACGGTGGGGTGCCGGAAACTGGCCAGGCCATGACCGAATCTGGCGTTCATACCGTGCGGGAGGTTCCCTTCCGATTTGCCCTCGCTACTCAAACCCACTAGCCGCTGGCCTGGAAAATTTTAAGACCGAGCAGCAAACTCATTCTGGTAGCCAGAGATCTTCGAGCGAGCAGCGTGCAAAAATTTCCCCGACGAAGGTTTGGCCGGACGGGTGGTTCGAGTAATTATCTGCTGTTCAAGCCGGACAGGGACACGAGGTGCTGATCGGTGTTTTGCCGCTGATTGGTAAACCATCCATGGTATCTGTCTGGAGACCGAGCGGTATTTGGACAGAGGTGGCAGCTGCCAACAATTTGCGACAGACACCAAATACAGTCGCAACATGTACACTAATAAGGACCAAATTTTATACGGTCGCAAATGATTACTTTTCTGGGACCATTATAATGTCCTTTCGCAAAACTTTTTAACTTCCCGTCGCTAAAATTTGAGTTTTTGTGAGTAGCGCCAATCTAAAAAAATTGCCGCCCAACTCACGGAGTATATTTTTCATTTTTTTGTTTTCGCCTTTTACCGAAAAATATGTAACTTAACCCTAGAGCCGCACATAACCTTTCATTTGCCATGGAAGAAAACCCTTACCGCTGCCTTCAAATCATCGGAGAGAAACGCAGCGATTTGGGAAGCTACCAAGCCGGCGAAGAGTCTACATCTGCACTCAAACTAAAGAATCTTTGTTCTCTTCACTCTCGCGGTCTCAGAGCGGCTGGCGCAGCTCTCTTCTCTTCACTCTCGCGGTTTCACGGCGGCCGGCGCAGCTCTGTTCTCTTCACTCTCGCGGTTTCACGGCGGCCGGCGCAACTCTCTTCTCTTCACTCTCACGGTCTCGCCCCTCTTCGGTTTCAGTTCTTAGTATTTCAACTCAATCATCCAGTAGTTGCAGCGGTTTCCCAGTTTCATCCGTTCAATATGGTATTCTTTCCTGTTTGATTAATCATTAACCCATTATTGTTCACCAGGCTTTCATAATGGTGTTCCCAATTTATTTTATTGTTAATCTAATTGATTATTGATCATTGTTGATTATTATGGAGTATTAATTTTCAGATTTTACTTTTTCGGATTAGTGTGAAATTTCATAACAGTGTGAACCATTGATTAATTGATCATACTAGTGTTTGACTATATATGTGAGAGTAGTTGATTCTGGAAGCTTTATTTTGAGACCGAATCTATGCCACATTAGGCAATATATATTTTTACATTTTTTATTCTCAAGATTATTTTTCAGACCACCAATCACCTGTCAGTTGCTTAAAATGAAATGTTCATCAATGATAATGGAAGCAGCCAGCAGGAGAAATCCATATACAACAACAACAACATCCGTATAAATGATTTAAAATGTATTAGAACAAAAACCAAAGATTGTTATGAGATTAGCGAATAAGGCAGAATTTGAGAAGAAAAACCAGTATATTCGAACATATAGCAGCATGTGGCATATACAGTTTTTATCTTAGGCCAATAGGTTAAGATAACTCTTAATTATGCATTTGAGGTACGTTTTTTAAGATCCACAGTATATACTATCCAAAAAATAATAATTAGTATTATTTTGGTGATTTTAATTGGTTCCTTACGAATTTAGGTGTGGCAAAGTTTCTTTCCTTGATACACTTTGTTTATTTTCAAGTGAAAATGATCATGCCTTTAGTATGTGGAGACCCAATTTTAGAATCTGAATTGTTCGGTTGTGGAGGTTGAATCTAAAGAGATGAAGAAACTTCTACCAAACTGAAATTTAACACATCCTATTGGTTTAAGGTAATAATTATATATGTAATGTTTCTCTTATAAGGAGTTTTATATGCAGCTCATCTCACCTTTTTTTAAGCTCACTTCACCTTTTTTTTTGCAGCTCACTTCACCTTTTTTTTGCAGCTCACTTCACCTTTTTTGGTAGCTCACTTCACCTTGTTTTGTAGCTCACTTCACCTGTATCCATGTTTTTACTGAATATGTTGACACAGATTTCCCGAATTTGCTTCACTTTCTAGAGTCATGTTTGGTTTATATTTGTATAGTCTCACCATAAACCAAGAGAAGGAGCATTCAAGCTGAATGATGTATTCACCATTACAATGCATGTTGTCCTGGCCACCACCACCCTCTTCTATGATTTCTTCCACAAAGGCATCGCTCCTGGTCTCTTTTTCGGAGTCGTAAGTCAGCTCACTCTAAATGCTACTCTCTTAATCAGGTTTATTAAAATGGAGTGTTACATCTGATGATACTGATACATTTATGATTTCAAATGGTTTTTTAGCTAAAGGAAAGAATGCCTAAATTGATAGTTGAGCCTGTTCTCTTACTTTGCTTATTTAACCTTATAACATTTCTTTATATCCGAACTATAGAGGTATAAACTATACACTACAGTGTAATGAAATTAGTTTCCTAAATTTGTTAATGGTTTAAGATTTCATTCGTTTCCATCTTCCATAGTGAACGGACCGAAATAGTGGATTATAAATCATACGTAGATAATTTTGACATGTTCATGCATTTTCACTCTCAATAAATGTGTTTTTGTTATTGCACTTTTTTAGAGTCCATATGATCTGAAACACATATACATCCAATCTGTATTTATACATCTATTGTTTTTTAGAAGTGAAACATGAGTATGATGCATTACTGAAGCAATTATCTATCTTCAATATAGAGTTATGATTCCCAGTGTAACATAGGATCTATAATGGTATTGGTTAGTGCATATATGTGCTTAATTTTACGTACAAGTTTCTTCATTTTACAGACATAGAAGATGTATACTGTTATGGGAGGCCATCTTGGGAAAACATGAATCAATCATCATATTGGGCTGTTGATAGATAATAGTGCTGAACTGTGGCGAGGTGACACGAGATTAAAGCAATCCTATAAGGCGATGAAGCAAAGACTAAAATCAAGATCCGAAGATTGATGTTTCATTGTTTAAAGATTGCATACGTTTTGTATAGGCAATGGATATGCTGAATATTTGATTATTGACTACTTAATTGCTTATTTATTAGTTTTGAATTGAAATGCGAGTGGTTATGTATGATTTGGATCTTTGCAAAACATTAATTAATATATTATATTGTGTTTTCATCAATTAATTATTAATGTTTGCAAATGGGGATGGGGTAATGGTTGCAAATACTCAAATGGTGTGGTCACAATTATTGATTAATTTTTCTAAAACAATTATTAGCGAAGGGAAAGTGGTTGCAATTACTCATAATATGTGGTCTAAAATAATATCATTAGCGACGGGATTCTAATTGGTCACAAAAAGTTTTAGCGACAGACCGCATTTTCTGGTCGCAAAAGATCTTTTGCGGCGAGGCCTATAGGGACTGTCGCGCGACCAGATTTTCCGGTCGCAAATAAGTATTAGTGACTTTTTTTAGTTTTTGCGACCAATATTCCCTTCGCTAATAGGTCTTTTTCTTGTAGTGAAGGGTGTCTAACGCTGTCCGTGGACTGAGCGGCGCCGCAAACGGAGTGGCAGAGGGGGCCTTGTGGATTCGCTGTTGGTCCATGACTGTGTGGTGGGTTGGCGGGGAACACCGAGCGGGGTATGTAATGCCGAACGGGTGTAAATTGGAGGTAGCCTCAGCTCTCTCCGGATTGTCCACTTTCATTCGTTCAGAATTATTTCCGCCGTTCGGCCGGGCATGAATCATTCTGTGGGCAAACCACTGCCTGGTCCATGTATTGCAATTGGCGATTTGAAACCCATTCCTTCTCTTGCGTCACTGGTCAGTGGTAAACGCTGCATCTTAAGGTGTCATTGATGTTCGGCTTGGTCAAGCCCCTTTGGAGGACGTCCGGGGAATTCTCGTTCGGACCTATGCTGCCTCGTACGGTTGCTGATGTGCGCGAACTCCGCAGCTCTTCCGAATGGTCGGGCGTCTTGGGACTCCCTCAGGGTGCAGCCGCTAGCTTGGGCTTCAGCCGCTTGTTGTGTCTGGCGTCCCACGTGAGTGTGGGAATTCTTCTGTATTGTCAGGCTACTGGGCTCGCGGGTCCCACACAGATAACCAAAAAGCCATGTTGGCTCGCATACCTCCTTTGGCCTTCTGCTTTGTTTTCCACCTTTTTCCTGTTGGCTGAAGATCACTCAAATGATGAAGGTTGCACTGGAATGTAGTAAACTCCACATAGTATGATACATGAAAATGAAAGTAAAGTAGGCTATGAATCTTTCCACAATCTTTTCTTTATATATTTTAGGGGAAAAACCCAACAACTTGTTGGATGAAAAAACCCCTGACCACACATATATATACAACACAAAATACTATACGGTTTCTACACTCACACACACGTATAGATAACTTCCCACTCCCTATTTTTACGTATGCATGGGGTGGGGAGGTTACTGCACACACGTAATACATACACATATACTTAAAGACATAAATAACTACTTTAGGACAAGATTAACTCCTTCATTCTCCCCCTTAAGCTTGTCCTTCTTCTACTTGACAATTTTCATTCCAATCTTGTCTCGTATCTCTTCAAATCTTTGCCTTCCAAGAGGTTTGGTTAGCATGTCTGCTAGTTGGTCACTGGTTCTCACATACTCAAGTTCCACTTCGTTTTCTTCAACACACTCTCTTATAAAGTGGGATCTGGTGTCTATGTGTTTGCTCCTTTCATGAAAGACAGGATTCTTAGCTAATGCTATGGCTGATTTGTTATCTATTCTGATTACTGGCTTTTCATGGTCTTCATTGCTCTTCAAGCTTTTCATCAATCTGTAGAGCCAGATGCCTTGACAGACTGCACTTGTAGCAGCTATGTACTCTGCCTCACAGGAGGAGAGTGCTACTACCCTTTGTTTGTGTGATACCCATGTAATCGGGTTGCCACCCAAGAAGAAGAGAGTTCCACTTGTGCTTTTCCTGTCATCCAGATCACCTGCCAGATCACTGTCACTATACCCTACCAGATTCTCGTTCTCAAACTCCCTTTTGTATACACACCCCATTCCCAGTGTTCCTTTCACATATCTCAAAATTTGCTTGACTGCGTTCATGTGTGCTAGGGTTGGGGCTTCCATGTATCTACTTACCACTCCTACTGAGTAGGCTAAGTCTGGTCTTGTGTTGACCAAATATCTAAGACAACCAACAATGCTTCTGTACTGAGTTTTATCTACAGGAGGTTCAGTATCATACCTGCTTAACTTACTTCTGGGTTCCATAGGTACTGAGCAAGGATTGCATCCTGACATTCCCATTTTCTCCAAGATTTTCTTAGCATAACTGGTTTGGCATATGGTTATAGCTTCTGCTTCTTGTCTCACCTCAATTCCTAGATAGTGACTTAATGGTCCCAGATCACTCATTTCAAACTGCAGCTTCATTCTTTTCTTAAAATCTTCAATCTGTTCATCACTGGATCCAGTAACAATGAGGTCATCTACATAAACCCCCACAATTTGCATTCCTTCAATGCTTTCCTTAGTGTACACAGCATGCTCATATTTGCACTTCTTGAAATTCAGTGACTTCAAGCACCTGTCTAGCCTCTCATTCCATGCCCTAGGAGCCTGTTTCAAACCGTACAATGCTTTGTACAATTTGAACACTTTTCTTGGATTCTTTTGATCAACAAAACCTTCTGGCTGTACCACATAAACCTCTTCCTTGAGTTCTCCATTCAAAAAGGCCGTTTTAACATCCATATGATGAATGCTCCATCTTTTGAAAGCTGAAAAAGCAATCAGAGTTCTTACTGTTTCCAGCCTAGCTACTGGTGCAAACACTTCTTTGTAGTCAATTCCAAACTTTTGCACATAGCCCTTTGCAACGAGTCTGGCCTTGTATTTGATGACTTTCCCTTCTGGATCCCTCTTTAGCTTATAAACCCACTTCAGGCCAATGGCTTTGTGACTCCTTGGTAGGTCTGTTAGTGCCCATGTTTCATTTCTTTGAATAGAATCAATCTCCTGAGCCATTGCCTCCTTCCAGTTTTGATTTTTAGATGCCTCTTGAAAGTTGGCTGGCTCCTCAATAGAGAGAAAACACAATGCTGCCTCCTCCTCGATCTCCCTAGTTGCATCATATATCTCCTGCAATGATCTAAGCTTTTGATGACCAGTTTCTGAATTAGAGCTTACTTGTGAATCTGTTGCACTTTCATGAGATGTTTGACTTGACTCCCCATCCTCTTCTTCATGGTATTCTGAAGTTTGCCTCATTTGTATGGTGAATGTCTTTTCTGAGTTTCCTTGATCATCCTGCTCCTTTTCCCATGCCCATTCCTTGCTTTCTTCAAACACAACATCTCTGCTTATTATGAGTTTTTGTTTGATTGGATCTAAAAGTCTATATGCTTTCGATCCTTCCTCATAACCCATCATGACAGTAGGAGTACTTCTATCATCCAACTTACAGATATGAGGTGTGACTACTTTTGCATAGGCAAGACATCCAAATACACGTAGATGTTGTATATTTGGAATCCTCCTGTATATCGCCTGATAGGGTGTCATTGAGTCTAAACTCCTTGTTGATGCTCTATTGAGGATATAGACTGAAGCTTTCACAGCCTCCCCCCAATACTTCGCTGGAACATGCTTGCTCTTTAATATACTCCTAGCCATCTCTATGACAGTCTGATTTCTCCTCTCCACTACCCCATTCTGTTGAGGGGAATATGGAGCTGTATAGTATCTTTTTATTCCTTCCTCTTCACAGTATGTTTTGAAAGGAGAAAGTGTAAATTCCCCTCCCCTGTCTGTCCTGAAACTCTTTACCTTCAGTTCCAATTCATTCTCTATCAAAGCTTTGAATCTTTTGAACCTCTCAAATACTTCACTTTTGACTTTCATAGGAACTATCCACATGAACCGGGAGAAATCATCAACTAGCAGCATGAAGTATTTATTACCTGCAGGTGTAGGAGGTGTGATGGGTCCACATAGGTCCCCATGGATCAATTCCAGTGGCTGCTTTGCTCTATATGTGGCTTGATTTGGGAAAGCACTTCTGTGTTGCTTGCCAATGACACACCCATCACACACCTGGTTTATGTGACTGGTCTCAGGCATTCCTTCTACCATTTTTTGACTTGACATCTTCTTCAATGCCTGAAAACTCAGATGCCCATATCTAGCATGCCATAACCAAGCTCTGTCTTGTAAGCTTATCATTAAACACACACTTTCTCCAGTCTGCAGCTTTGCTACGTAGAGCTTGTTGTTCTGTCTTTCTACTTTAATGATGAGTCTATTATTGTTATAGACTCTCATCAGACCTTCCTCTATGATAATTCTGCTTCCATTCTTATCCAATTGACCAATGCTTATGATATTACTCTTCAACTTAGGAATGTAGTATACATTTGTTAGGGACAAATGTTCTCCATTTATGCATTGAAACAACACTGACCCAATCCCTTTTATGTCAATAGCTGACCCATCTCCGAACCTAACTTTTCCTTTCACAGTATAGTCTATGCTTGAAAAGAAGCCTTTCAAACCTGTCATGTGATTGCTTGCCCCAGTATCCAAGTACCACTCAGCTTCCCTTTTCTCAACTTTGCATTTAGATTCTGAGTGTTGTGTAGACTGGGCTTGAGTCAGTTCACATATTTCCACCATCAGCAGTGTTGGTTCTTCTTCTTCTTCTTTTACAAGGTGTGTTTGTTCATCCTTTTCTTCTGAAGTGCACTCAGAGGCAAAGTGCCCCATTTTTCCACAATTGTAGCACTTGATCTTGGATTTGTCAAACTTCCTTTTTTGTCCAGATTCTTCATCCCTGGTGTAGGAGCTATTTGTACTTCTGCCTCTCCCACGTCCTCTTCCTCTTCCTCTACCACCTCTTGAACTATACTTCTCATCTCTTTCCCTCCATTCTGCTTGTGTGAGCAACACAGTATCATCTTCCTTTGCTATTGAACCTTGTATTCTTTCTTCATATGCCTTTAGTGACCCTATGACTTGATCACTTGTCTTTGTCTCGATCTCTCCAAATTCCTCAATTGTAGAGGCAAGTTGTAGGAACTTAGGAGCTGCAGATCTCAAGATCTTCTTCACAATTGTTTCTTCTTTAACAACATTTCCTAGTCCTCTCAACTTGGTGACTATGACTTGCAGTTTCCCTGA